CCCTCTGCAGTGGAAAGGCCAGATTACGGCATGACCACCACCTCCAGCCGGGGGCAGCTGGAGGATTGAGGGGAAGAGCCTTACCTACGTGAGACCCCGCCGGCCACCATATGTTGCTGCCAGAACTGCTAATGAGATGGGCTGTGGGAACTGAGAAGGGACCGAGAGCTTCCACACGGGAACTTAGTGGGGGAAGAACTTCCCAGCATCTGTCAGGGACGCCAGTGGCTATTGGCTGGAAAAGGGTGTGATGGTTGATAACATTTCCCTGGTTAACTCTTCGGTGACCTTGAGGTCCCAGCTAGGTGCCTGCCGCCCTGTGACACCTGGAGAGGCGACCCCGAAGAACAATTTTTGAGTTTGGATTCATTCACAGACTTTTTTTTATGACCTTTCCCCGTGTGAGTGCTGCTTCCTGACTGCTCTTTTTCTTTTGTGCAGGTGACAGCAGCGAGCACCCCCTGTTCTGTGTTGAATATTCCCCTTACTGCTCCGTCTTTGCTTTCTCCCCTGTCCCGCAGCCCAATACCAATTACTGCTGCCTCGTCCTGCCACTCATTCCACCTGCCTCCCCGGTGGCCCAGGGCCCTTCCTCCCACCTTCCTCCAGTTTCCTTTCCGGGCTTCGTGAGCCCCACCCCACCCTCCCCTAGCCCGGTGCCCGGGTCTCCAGCAGCCCTGTGCTATTTCCCAGTCTCCAACCCCACCCCGGCCGAGACCCCTGTGCTGTGCCTGCCTGGCCCCAGGAGGCCCAGTAAAATTTACCTCCTGTGGTAAGTGGCCCACAGCAGGGCACACAGCACAGTGCATCCTGGGAGAGGGGGGCCTCAGGCTTCCAGAAGGCAGGTGGACGATGGGAGGGGCCCAGAGGGCAATGTCATGACCAACCAACACCAGGAGGTGTGGTGTGCGGGGGAGGAGCAGGAAGACAGCAGCTGCCACTTCACTCAACCCTCTTCTAGCACTAAGGAGAGAACGACCAATAAATCCCGTCATCTCTTGAGGCTCATTTGATTTCTTCACTCCTGAGTCTGGCACACTTGGGACTTGAAAACCCGACAGGCTCCGTGTCTGATCGGCCCCCGGGCTGTGTGCACGTGTGCACGCGAGAGGGCCATGGGAGGGGGCACCGGGGCAGGGCTTTTGGAAAACACACGCTGGAACTGAAAAGCCCTTCAGAACCATACTGAGGAGGGACAAATTAAAGGGCTCAGTCGCTGTTTACGTTCACTTTTCTGCCTACTTATTAGGCACTGCATTTCCCCAAATCAAAAATCCTACCTCCTGGGTTCCAAAATAAAACATATTTATGGTACATAATTAAGCTTTAATGAAGATCTCCTCTGGGTACGTGAGACAACACACATTCCCAGCACATTCAAACAGGCAGATCGACACGGCCTGTTATTTGTGACTGTACAGAAAGCTGCCTATTACACCAAGGCAACACCAGTGCTGATAATTAAGCTGTAATTCTTCCCACCAACCAAAGGAAGCAATAAATTTTTTTTAAAAGGCGTCTCTTAGACAGAATCTTGGCACCTCCTAGGCACTGGGTGTCAGAGTCAAGGTAGGGAAGGGAAGAAGGAAAGGTTCAGGAACTGTATTTTTCATTTTCTCATTCTTTTCCACTCTATCAAGAACAGTACTATGACAAGTGAGGTGAGGCACTGAACAATTATCAGGTGCCATGGACCTCGTTCCTGGCCATCAGGGGCTTGTGTAGGTATGGAATTACCTGCCTGTATTTCTTTTCCTGGTGAAATTAAGAACTATTCTGTAAACAATTACATTGTCAAGAAAACTGAGGCAAGACATGTTTTATCTCAATAGATGCTGGGTTTCTTTGCTATACACACGTCACCTTGCTCAGACCCTACAACAAAGTATGGGTTTCACATTGTCCAAAGCAAACCACAGTCTTCCCAAAGTTCACTGGAAAACTTCAGGATTTCAAGTTGCCTGGTAATAAAGCTCCTGAACACAATCCCCTTCCTTCTCTGTAAGGCAAAGGGACCGTCTTACTACCTGACGAGGGAGTTGTATTTCATCTTCCAGCGTAACTATTACTTGGTCTTCCCCAAACTATAGGGAGGAACATCCCTAGAAAGGCCCCAAAGCTCTGGTTTTGGTTCACTTTGGGGAGTAGGTGAGGTGATTAGGAATTGGAGTCCAGGTTCATATAAACTAAGCAATCTAGGTCACCTCATTTGTGACTGCAGTTGCAGATGGAGAAGGAATATTTCACAAGAGTGCTTTCCATAGAATCTAAACAGTTCCACAGGGAAGAAGTCAGTGGTGCAGGCAAATTAGATTATAATCTTTAAGGGCATGATCAAAATGTCTTACTCATCTTTGCAAACCTTCAAATTACTGCATAGCAAAGACAGACAGGTATTTGTTGAACAAATTATAATAAAAAGAGAGTTGCTATTTGCCTTTTGGATTTTGTAAAAGGATCGAGGGAGAGAGTAAGGAACGAAGGTTATTGGAATAAGTTATTCTCAACCTATGGAGCCTGCATGACAATAAGTTTCTGGTCCAGTTCAGTTCTCTCATGGGAGTGACTTCAGATTTCCAATTATTGTTGGTATTATTATCACTATTTATGATAGAAACAGCAGCTACCATTTTTAGTAGCTAATATGCACCAGATGCTGGGTTAGACTATTTACATACATTATTGTTAACCTGAACACCAAGTCAACTGGATAGGAATATCCCCATTGTATAGTTGCAGATACTGAGGTTCAAACTGTCAAAGGATAGAAACTCCTGCCTAAACTACCAGGTCACTGCCAGACCTGGTAAAAACAGGCTCTAATCGTTCAGCTTTATTACTTTAGTTTGCTGATAACTTGATTAGAAGAGACCTGGTAATGGAAATCATTTATGAGAACTCATTCTTTGACAAAAAAGCACTTTTTTGAATAAGAAAACAAACTTTTTTGCACAAGAAAATAGTTTTCTACTTTTGGAAATCCCCATAGTTTCGGCTCAACCCATCGTCTCCAGCCCTGCAAGTCATACTAGGCGAGTTTTATTTGACCTGCAGGGGTGTGTGGGGCAACACACAGGCTGGCCAAAGGCAGGGGCCTCATCCTTGGGGACCTCACAGTCCAGGTGGAGAGAGAAGACACACACGTTAAGCAGTTTTAGAATATGTAAATGCTGAAGGCCACAGGACCCAGTGAGTTCTTGCCAACGAAGAGTCAGAGCAGCCTTGGCGGATGTAAAATTGGAAAGAGACCTCGAAGAGGGAGGATCACTGCCCCGAGGGTGTGAGGGGATGGGGGTGGGGTGGGGGAGTGGGGGGTGTGGGTCCAGTAACCTTCTGCTGCCTGGGCTGAGAAGGAAATTTGGATATGCTTCTGGGAATCGAAGTAAAATGCTCATGACCAAGACTTCTCGGATGGTCTCAAATACGCCCCGGACTTGGCCTGACCCCCAAGCCTGCCCCTTCCCTGGCCCTGCCTCGGTTTCTTCCTCAGTCAGTAGGAACCCTGTTGCTTCCTCGAACCCTGCCAGTGAGGTGAGAGGTAGGAGGCAGCTGTTGCCTTCTGAGAGCTGGGGAGAGATGAGGCCGCCAGGAGCCTCTGGATTGGAGGAAAGCGACTCATGGTGCTGAGACAGTGTCTCCACCATTTCCTGTGTCCCTTCCTGTAGAGTCGCCGATCCCTCTCTGTCACCCTCCCCCTCTCACTCTGTTCATGGTCAGTGAAATTGTGTCAGATCATCACCCTCCAAAGAATATATTCTCATCATCTTCTGGAGGAGTCTCTCCTTTCTGGTCATGCCCACAGCCTCTCCGAGCTCCACCAACTTGCCCTAAACTGCAACACCACCAGCAGCTTCCCTTTTTTCTAGTAAGTTCTCTGTGGAGCCCGATCCTCTCTGCCGTGGGGAACAGAACCCAGGAAAAGTAGGTGGCATCTAATCATTGTATTAAACTAGTGCTCGCTTCGGCAGCACATATACTAATTATTGTATAAAACTAGGCTTTGTGGCTGCCAAGGAGAATTTCATTCCTTTCCTCAATCTTGGATGACAAGTGTTCACGCAGCTACAACTTACGCGCTGGAACAGAAACCTGGTTGTCTTCCGTGCCAAGAAGGTCTGCGCTCTCACACACAGCTCAGGGATCCTCCCCCGCTCCCCCAGCCGCCCCAGTGCCCATGTGTGTACTTTCTGAGCTGTCCAAAAGGGGAAGAGCCAGGAAAGTTGTCTTGGAAAGGTTTTAGTCCAAATAGCCACAATTTTAACTGCTTGTGAACCCAAAAACTTGTAGAGGTACATGGAAAATACTGAAACCCTTCCCCAAACTCACATGCACTGACACTTAAAACCTATGAAAGGAGGGACGTGAGATTATTCATACAAATTAGCAACCTCATTCAAAATGTGAATATGGATATTCATCAGGCACTCACTCAATCCACGTTAGCATTCGAGCTGTTGTCTTCCTGTGAGTGTGTCGTCCCAGCCCAGCCGGGAGTAGCACGAGGGCGGGAATGGTCCCCAGACGCTTGGGACCCTTCTGGAGGCAGTGGTGTCGCCAATAAACAACCTGAGGATATGCATAGGCAGGTACAAAACAGGCTGCAATTCAAACTTGGATGACTCTGAAGGAGGGCTTTTTGTGTCCCAACTGTAAAAGGCCTATCCCAACACCGATGAACTGGAAGCTAGAAACGTCTTAGCAAAAGGCATTGCGGGTGTCACAATGCTCGTTCATGGTGACAACAGCCGGGGCAAGCAGGTATGACTATTATTATTTCCATGGAACAGGTGGAGAAACTGAGGCTTCAAGAAGTGCGGTGGTCTTCCCACACCCACGTGGCTACACGGGCGGGGACCCAGGCTTCAAATCCAACTCTTGTCTGATTCCCTGGCTCCATTCTCTTAGCTGCCTGCCCTACTGCCATCCCTATGAGCATTCTTTGTAAGGGGCATGTTTTCCTGTAAAAAATTCATTATTGAAAATTCATTTGCACCTTTCAGCAGCCCAGTCACCACAGATTTTATCAAGGAAGAGGAGGCCAAACCTGGGGAGACTGGCGGTCCGACCAGAGGCGCAGAGCCCAAGAGCGCCTGGGGACAGAAACAGACAGAAATCACAGCTGCCCGCGAAGGTGCCGGTCCTCAGGGGAGCAGGTAAGGGCCCCTAGCTCATGCGTCTTGGTCCTCAGAGACAAGTGACTTGTGCTGTTACCTGATGAATTCCATAGGGTTTTTAGGCACTTATAAAGTGAAACACAAGGTTTTAAAAGCAAACCACTGGCTCCAGTTTCCTTCTCCAAGGGAATTTGGTGGGGAAAGGCAGGTGGGGGGTAGTTTATCTTTTTATTTTTCTGTGTCATTACAGGGTAAGCGTGACTGTGCAGGTTTTTCAGTGGATGCCTGCTGTTAGGCTTCCAGAGAGGGCTTCTGGAGGTTGGGGGGTGGGTTCGGGGTAGGGGTGGAGGGTGGGAAGCAATCTGCAGCTCTGAGAGTGTCTCACTGGGCCACTGTTCCCACCCACCTCCCAGGGTGTCTGTGGGTGGCTGACTGCCCCCCTCCCATAGAGATGTTCTCCCCTCTGATCCAAGGTGAAGGTCTTAATGTGTAAGAAACATCAGAATGAATATATGCTTAATTTCAAAATGCCAGTTTGGTGGACACCACCTCTTTCAACCCTGAGCACTCCTCCTAAGGCCCGAGCCATGCTCCTCCGCTAACCATGTTGCCCTCGCCTGTGGTGGCAGACGGACAGGCCCTAAGGAGCCCCCCGTGGGACTCAAGGAGAGCCACAGGTGACAGCCAGCCTTGCTATGGACCTGTTCTTCTCCTTGGGGAAACCACTGAGCATCACATTTGCTTGCCACCCACTGAACAGAATAACAGTAGCCTTTATTTTAAAATATGACATATACTGTGGTGGACACATGGAAAGGTAGAACATGATAGTATGTGGATGGCTTGGAATTAGATGCAATTAGAGTTTATGTGAACCTGTAGCAACTAGACATCCTCCGAACCCAGTGATCTAACGTTTCCTGTTGGGAAGGACAGGCCTCACTTCTAATTCCAGCTCTTCTTCCTCCTAGAGATGGTGCCGTGGGTGGTCAAATAGTCACTCTGGGCTACTGTTCCCTTGTCTTAAAATAAGGGTAATAAAATCTATCTCTTTGCATTGCTATAACTGAAGAAAATAATATACTCACCAGCACCTGTCTATAGTGGGCAGTGAACCACTGCTAGTTTCTCTCCTGCCACTTCACTGGCCCTCAATGAGCTCTCGAATATTATTTAGAAAGTGAGGTTCCCTGTGCATGAAACATTCCTAGACCCATGAGGCTCATAAAACCCTCCACCGGCTCCAAGAAGATACCTTCCATTATCCTGAGAGGTTCCTTGAGAATTTGTCCCACATTCCTGTTACGCCCAGGGCTCCTTATTGCCCCCCCCCCCAATTATTTCCTCACTGATCTCTCTTTAGTTCTTTTTCTGACATTCTACAGTAGTTTGCATAAATTGGAGTAGGAGCCAGATACTTAAATTGTATCCAAGTTTTGAAGCAAATGTGACAGAAAGGTAATATATAGAAAACTCTTACCAATCAGTAGGAAAAACATGAATACCTAATAGAAAAACAGGGAAGGGCCATAGTGGTTAATTTCACAGAAGAAATATGGGTAGCTAAGAGACATTTTGGGGAAAAAGTTCAACCTCACTTAGTAAATGTAAATTTACATGAGAAAAGCTTGGCCTAGCAAATTGGCTAAGGTTTTTAAAATAATACTCAATACTGGAAGTGAAACTAATAATTAACATTTCTGGGCACTGTTGTACCAGATGCTATGCCAAGCCCTGTAACACAGCTGTGAGAGAGGCTTTCATATCCTACCTATAGGATAACTTGGTACAAACTGGAATTTGGCAATGAGTCAAAAGTCTTTAGAAAGTTTGCACCTTTTGACTTTGCCATTCCATTTTCCTCTTAATCTATTATAAGAAAATTAGACAAATAGTCAGAGATGTATGAGCAAGAACTTTTCATCATGGTGTAATTCGTAGCAGCAAAAACCTTGAAACAATCTAAATACCCAATGATAGGAGAAGAATTAAACAAGTTACATTTATATAATGTACCCTTATACCATAATTAATATCACATTCTTAATAATTAATAGCCAGAGGTAATGCTCACAATAAAAGTTTTAGGGAAAGAAAGCAGAACATAAAGTTGTATATACCCAAATACCCAACCTGTGTTTTTAAAAACAATATTTCTAGATAAGCCAGGCCCCAGTGCCTCCAAGGGACAGGTGGGTGTGGCAAGAGAAATACTCACCAAGGGCTGCCGCGCAATCACGCTCCAACTAAAGGTGTCAATTCCGTGTTCAAATTTGAGCCAAAGCACAGCTGCAAGATGAAAACGGCCCACAGACCTTGAGTTTGCTATCCACGCCTGAGTTCCAGAACTCAATGATCATCTGAGTTTTGGATTTTGTGTGGTTTTCTTTTCTTTTCTTTTTTTAAGATTTTATTTATTTTTAGACAGACGAGAAGGGAGAGGGAAAAAAACATCAGTGTGTGGTTGCCTCTCACGCACCCCCAACTGAGGATCTGGTCTGCAACTCAGGCATGTGCCCTGACTGGGAATCAAACCAGCGACCCCTTGGGTTGCAGGCTGGCACTCAATCCACTGAGCCACACCAGCTAGGGCTGGATTTGGCTTGGTTTTCATTTCTCCTTCATCTCTTCTGTATTTTCCAAATTTTCTATGATGAATATCGATTACTTTTATAACCAGAGGAAACAATTAAAATTATATGGCATCAGAATGTAAGAAACTGTTGGCCAAGCACCTGAAGAAGTCTAGACCAAAGATGCAGTCTCAGGGCAGACAGATGCTTTGCCTGGTCCCCTCTCGCTGCACCTAGAACATTCAGTTGCACCGAGTTGAACTGGAAGTAGCAGGCACTCCGTTCACAGCTGGAGCCCATGCGGGGCCTCAGAGAGGCCCAGGCAGCATCTGTGGGGCCGCTCTATGAATAGCACATCCCTGGCATACCAAACCGGGTGTTTATTCCCAGGCCTAGAGCTAGGAAATCTGCTCCCTATTTGATAGACGCACGAAATAGGGTTAAAATAGCATAAATATAGAATGGCACAGTCTGCCACCTTAAGGGGAAACACACGCACACACACCAGGGAAGTGCTGATGGAATTATTAAAGAGGAAAGCAGCGTGGTGACAAGGAAGGGTGGAGATGCATTTCCTGGGGTGTTTCGTATCCACAGGAGCTGCAACGCAGCACTTAGCCTGTGACTCCTGCCCCAGAAGCCAGTGTCACCAGGTGACAGCTTGGTGGCTTCCGTGAAATAAGCTTATGGTTCCTGTTGAGTTGCCAGTTTCTGTTTTTCGGAAGCTACCCTAAATGACTCTATCGCCCATTAGGTGTCTCCCAAAGCCTGAATGAAATTGGCTCTGGGCAGATCAGGCAGCTCCCACCATCCAGCAGGGTCTACATGTTTAGGGAGCAACCAGAAGATTCGGGTTCCTGCCCTCAGCCCAGTCTCCGTGGGCACTATATGTTCAGGGCCAGATGTTCAGGGCACCCTGGCATTGCTGACGCATCGATGACTGGGGTTTATAAAACCCATGAGGGGCCTGGTAGGACAGCATAAATTATTTCTAGAAAAGCAGATGAGTAAAGATTCGCACTGCGTTGTTGAGTGTCCCCTGCAGCTCACAATAAAAGAGGCTTAGGGAGCATCAGGACATTAGAGACTTGAGCTCATGCTCCCCCGGGAGCCCTCAATTAAAGTGAGTCAGTATTGACTTGGCCCTTGGCTGAGCCAGACATGCTCGGAGCATTTGCCTCTCACCTGCCTGAGCTGTCATCACACGGGCCTTCCTCAACCTGTGGAATCCTGTCCCCTCTGCACTGTGAACCGTGAGCCGCTTTGGAGACCAAATGACAAGGATAGCAGGGCCTCATCAGACCCGGTAGGGGAGCTGAGGGGGAAGGCCAACGTCGGTGGGGGGGACAAAGGTAAGTGGGATCAGACAAGTCCTTTCAGTGTCCTATGCATGTCAAGATGGTAAAAGAACCCTCACAATACACACAGACAACAATGAATTTTCACAAGGAAACTGGAAGTCCAGTCAGTTTCTTAAGAGTAGTGCAGGATAGTGGTTAAGAACACAAGCCGCGTGGCAGGCAGGCCTGAGTTCAAATGTGCACTCCATCACTTACTAGAAATATGATCTTGGGCAAGTTACGTGACCTCCCTATGCCTTGGTGCCCTCAGTTATAATGCGGTGTGATTGTAGTACTTGTTTCACAGCACTGTGAGCCTAAACATGGACAGGTAACAGCACGGTGCCTGCCCAGTTCGGGATAAGCCCTCAATAAGAAAGCTTAGTCATTACTTTTATATGGCTTTTATAAGGCAAGTTTTAACCAAATGATTTTACCAGTAGAAATTCCTTCCCACATGGGTTCTTTCCCTCTTTCCTCTCTCTACATCTCCTCATACTTGAGATTTGGGGCACAATGGGGTAGAATTGTATTATAGCCAGAGGTTACAAATTGACTAGGGGCTCGTGACAGAGGAGATAATGATACCATGAGAACATTATGATTTTTATTTGCACTGAATAGTAAATGTAATTACAGATCATCTGTTTAATTGGACACCAGCTTCTAGAGTCTTCCTCCTGATGTGCCGAGGCAGGCTGTACTTTTCTTAAGATTTTGTAAAGCTGTGTGTGGAGCATGAGTGTCATAGATGTATGTTGAATGAATTTGGGTGACAAAGCACTGGTGGGCTCTGCAGAAGTCATCCCTGGCCTGCTGGTTTTCCTCTCCAACAAGTGCTGGGATATGAGCTGCCATTTGAGAGGTTTACCCACCACCAGCCCCGACTGACCTGGGGCTGGACAGTCTGTCCAAAGCTTCTGCAGAAAGGATTGGTAGCCTCAAGGTCAGCCCATTTCTCCAGAAGCCAGCGTGAGCCCCACAAACGTGCAAAGGAGAATTCAGAAGCAGTAAAATGAAGCCAGGGCTGGTGGCCAGAAGTCTTGCGCCCCCTAGCCATTTTGACCACATGTATTTTCTCCTCTAAGGCTTGTTTGCTGCCTTATGGGGCTTTCACCCATGGTGTTAGAGGTCTTTCATTCATGGGCACCTATAGTAGAATGATAAATTCATCTTTTCTCACTGCAGATCCAGTTCAACAAGAAGACCCAATGTGGACAAGTGACACTAAGCTGAAGAGGCCAACTCGAGAGAAAAGAAACTTAGTCCCATCCTCACAGCCAATGACAATGACCAAGGACACCCCTGAGAGAGCCAGAAAAGGAGACCCACATGCTCTTTCCCAGAAAGAGCCACAGCCGGCCCTACCCCAGGCCCTACCCCAGGCCCTACCCCAGGCCCTCCCAGGGACAAACAGGCCTCAGGTGTTGAGCGAGTCCTCGGGGCCACCACCCTGCACCACCACCATGGGAGGCTCAAGAAGGGTGCCATTTAGGTTCAGAGATGAAGATTTTTATTCCGTGTTATCATTAAGCCTTGGAGAAGAAAACGATGACACTGAAGAGGAAACCCATGTGGAGGAGGAACTTTTGCTGGCTGGCATGGACCCACCCCATTCTCCTTCCCACCATAAAAGAAGTCATTTTCTCAGAACACCAGCCTCTCAAGACAAAAATAAAAATGTTGAAGAAAATCCTGAAAATTGCAGAGCTAATTCTGTAAGAAAAAGTCAGTCCAGTCATGGCTCACTAAGAATAAGCAGTGTAACGGAGCCAGTGAGAGAGCAGGCTTCTGTCAGGCAGAGGATGTTCCGAGACCCCAGGCTGCCTAATGGGGAGTCTGCTACAGAGAATGACAGCAGTGACAGTGAAAATGAGGAAAAGACCTTTCATTCATGGGACACCAAATTTGAACCTAATCTAGATAATGATCTCAATGCTGAAAATGAACTTAGTGATTGTACTTCTATGGAAGATATGTCTGGTATCTATGATTATGAGGGAGAATGGCAAGCCTATTTAAACAATTCTAGTACTTCTCTTGATCATTTTCTTTCTGGTAGACCAAGAGCATCAGTGAATTCATCTTATGACACTCCTGGATCATTAATACATTCTGCCCTGAGAGATGACATTCCAGTAGACTTATCGATGACATCTACTTTGGTTCATGGTTCAAACTCAGAGGGAAACTCAAGATTTAATGTTCGTCAACCACTGTCCCCCATTAGAAACAGGAATCCTTTTGCCAGTCCTGAAAACCACGGTTACGTTCCAGTAAACAATGCATGTGAATTTGATGTCAGGGGAGCAGAAGCTAGTACTTTAACAAGCCACTCTCAGGGGGCTCCGTTGTACCCAGAAGATCTCTTACTAAATCCTCAAAGCAGCTTGTCATTGGTGGGACCTTCCAGCTCCTCTGCATCAAGAATGAACCTACAAGGCCACTTGCGTGTGCCTGGGTCCCTGCAACAAAGTATACCTCTTACTTTCTTTGCAGCATCTGATTTCCCAAATCAAAATGGTAGTGGGACCAGAGTGGCAGTCTCTGGCTTCACAGATGAAAAGGAAGCTACTGAAATAAAGCCTGACTCAGAGAAACTCAAGAAATTTCAAGAAAGGTGAGAAATGTTTCTAATTATATGTAAATACATACATTTTTGTTCCATTTTTTCAATGCTGAAATAAGCAGTGCTTTTATTAGAGGGTCATGGGAATTTTAAATAATAGGTAGGCCCTTCCTTAACATAATAATGACTACTTATATCAAGAGCATTGTCTATGCTGTTGCTCTTAAAATATATGCCTCTATGAAGAACAGTTTGGTTTTCCAGTTCAATTTCTTCAGTAGTCCCAAAGTGTTTTTTTCCCTTGAATACAGTTAACTTTAAGAAAAACAGATTTGCTAGATATAAGGGTTTCTGACTGCTGCAGAGGGCTAGCATTTCTTGCTGACAGTTAAGAACCAGGAAAAGGTTGCTATCTCCCCAAAGAAAGAGCCATTCAGCACTCGAAGTTCACCAGTTCTCCCTCACGGGACTTTGCACAAATCCAACCAACAGTTCAAGAATTTGAATCTTCCAGAGTAAAAGGTTGGCCCCCAATGGTTGCCATAGTTACCTAGTTCTCTGAAGGGCAGCTCTGGGGTGACCACTGCTTCCATTTTAGGTGCCCTTTCTCATGCATGAGAGAGAAATAGATCTGTTTTTAATTGCCCCTTTCTTCGATCTTTCCTTTCTTGTGAGTTGATATTGGGATATTTTACAACTATCAAATTTGATATTTTTAAAGCTGTCAGTAAGCACCATGTCAGGATGCTACCATTCCATTTATGGTAGGTGTTACCATGCCTTTATTTTGGCTTACAGATTCAGAAATCAATTCTTTAAATTCCAGCCCTCTATGTGTGGCTCATTTGGACCATTAATTATCCTATTGATATTTACTTGTAAGTGGGAAAATTCCATGGCAATGAATTAGACGTACAAAAAAAGAAGAAAAAAATAGAACATAGAATGCATATGTACTCCTGTATGTCTTTTATCCAACTGCGGAAATGAAGCAAGTTTCTAGATAGTAGCACCTTTTCTTTTCCATATTACACAAGCTACTAGAAGACTGACCCATGGTTAAGGCCAAAAGGCCTTATGCCCATCTGTCCTCCCACACCCTAAAATACAGCTTCAGACCCACTTGTCAGAGGTCTGAATTTCCACTGCCCCAAGTGATGCCTTTGGGCTAAAAATGATTCGTTTTAAAAATGCACCTACTTCTAGGGACAGTAAGTAGTGCATTAAACAGCTATTATTTGTGTACTTCACTTATCAGACACTCTTTTTTTTCTGTATGTAATAAATCATGCTTTTCTAATTTCAGAAATATCCATTTTAGGAAATATTTTGAAATATAAACTTAAAAGAAAAATTACCTATAATTCTATAATCCAGAGATAAGCACAGTTAAAACTGTTTCCAGTCTTTTATCTTTGCATATAAATGCAATTTTGAGTAAATGTTGGTTTATATTTTATAATATGTCTTACTTTAATATTTCAAGCCCATTTCTCAATGCCACTTAATGCTCTTTACAGTTTTTCCCTTGGTTAGCTACTTTAATACATACAAATAAGTATATAACATACGTACATTCCACAGAATTAGAAACAAGACAAAACCCAGACACCCCTGTGTGCACCTTCCAGCTAATAGAACATCACTGGGGCCGGTGAGCCCCTCGCTCCCACTTTCTTGTCACCCCCTCGGCCCCTCCCTCCCACTCCCAGGAACCCATTCATGCATTGCATTTAGCATTCTTTGCTTTTTATCTTGTTGTTTTTGGAAGTTTTTTTGCCTTTTGGTTTTACCATATGAATACATGTACTCCTAAACAACATATATTTTTGAATTCTACAGAAATGTCACTATTATTTTTGAATATCTATTCTTTTGTGAAATGTAATGTCTATTCTTCTACAACTTACTTAATCCCCTTTCATCATTAGTGAGATGCATCCTTGTTGATATTTTTGGCTTTTAATCATGCATTTTCACCACTACGCAGTATTCTATTTTAGGAATAATACCACAATCCAGCCATTCTCTTATTAAGGGACACTTGGGTTTTTTGCTGTTTTCTGCAAACAGCTCTGTATGAACATTCTTATAAATGTCTTCTGGTGCACATGGGAAGAGTTCTCTGGGGTATTATCTTTCTAGAAGTGGAACTGCTGGGCTGGCGGCTGGCGCACCTTCACACTAAAAAATGTCAGTGTATTGTCTCACCAGTAATGTATGCTACTGTCCGTCCTTGCCAGCACTTGTATTGATTGGCTTTTCAAACTTTTACCAGTCTAATGGGATTAAAATGATATTGTAGCTTTAATTTACATTTTCATGACTGTCAATGACATTAAGCACTTTATGTGCTCTCTGGAATGTTAAACGACCATTTGTGTTTCCTCTTTTGTAAAATGCATATTTATGTCTTTGCCCATTTTTCTTTTAGAGTATAATTCTCTTATTTTAGAAGTTCCTTATATATTCTGGTTACTAGTCTAACTGTTTGGCAGGTAGAACCTAGAGATATCTTTTTCCAATTTGTAGTTCGTCTTTTCTCTGTCTTTTAATGAAAATAAGTTCTTAATTTGAGTGTAGTCAAATGTATCCATCTCCTTTTGGATTGTGATTTGTATCCTACGGCCTTGATTAAGAACTCCCTCCCAAACCAGGGGTCATTATTCTTCCTATTTTCTTCTAAAATCTTCCCATTTTACTTTGTACACTCAGGACTTAACATGAAATGAGTTTGGGACTTAACTGTGAAGTGATGTTTCGTATGTGGCGTGAGGCACATGTTATGAACACCAGGTGTCCCAGGATCTTGCCCAGACAACCTGCGGGCTCCCTCTGTCACAGAGCATACACATAGGTGTGTAACCCTGTTTCAGGGCTCTCTATTCTGCCCTGTTGGTCCTTTTTTGTTTTTCCCTATTCCAATACCACAGCATCTTAATGTCTGCAGCCTTTTAAGTTTTGACAACTGACGGCACAGTCTCCCTCTTCACTTTGCTCCTTAAAAGCCCTTGACTATGTTTAAGAATCATCTGTTAGGTTTTCACTGGAATTGCATTGAATCTATAGATTATTCTGGGGAGACATAACATCTTGGAGTTACTAAGTCTTTCTTTGATAAACATGGTATATCTCTTCTTTGCATCTATAATGGAAAACTATAATTCTGTTCTTTTTCATTGGACCTCCCCTTCTTAGGGAGGAAAGTCTCTAGGAAACTGAACATACACTTCTACATCCAGAACAAAATCTATTTCTTCCTCCCCTTTGATTTTAGTCTCAGCAGTTTCCTTTCCTTGACCAGACGGTCCCCAGTCTCATGAAAATTCTAAAGAGCAAAATTTTAGAGAATAGCCTTAGGCTCCTCAAGGGCTTCCCTACAGGAGTATCATCTAGCTATTCTTCATTCACCATTAATTAGACACAAATATATTTGCTTACATTTTCATTCATCCTATCTTCATCCAATTCTGGAATGTAGGCAAGAATTGTTGGCAAGTGTCTTGTTATTGGTAAGCTTATGTCCAAGTTTATTGGTTCATCATTTATCCCAGCCAACATCTATTGAGTGGCCTCTATATGCAAATACTTTGCCAGACACTGGATGCACTTCGCAGTTTGCAGAACAGGTTCACCATCATCCCTGCGTCCAGTCTGCCCATGACCCATGAGTATCAGTATCAATCACCCTGGCTTTACCAAAGGTAAAACAGAGAAGTGGGAATCTTACGTCACATGTACAAAGTCACCAAACTCACAAGTTGTAGAGGCGAGCCTCGAACCCAGGCCCCGACTGCCAATCCATGCACTCACCCACAACCATACCGCCAACTTCCTCCTAGCGGCCACTGCGGGGAGAGGGGCGCCCAGCCTTCTCCACAGTTCCCCTCAGCCGCCCTTTCCTACACCTCCAGACTCAGGGTAGCATGCTGGTTCTCCTGATCAGCTCCCCCATATCAATGACTGCAGGGCCGCCTGACATAAGAATCTTCAGTAGAGTCAGAGGGAACAGTAGGGGATCTGGAGCCCTATGGGCAGGTGTGAGGGGATTGCTCCTCTCCCTTTTCCCGTTCATACCCTGGAAACTGGTGTTTGTGGAAACTGCAAATGTGTAGACTCCTGGTCACGAGGGCTTGTTTTCCATTTAGTCTCCTGGAGGAAGACTCAGAGGAGGAGGGAGACTTGTGTCGCATTTGTCAGATGACGGGGGGTTCCCCAGCCAACCCTCTCCTGGAGCCTTGCGGCTGTGTGGGAAGCCTACAATTTGTTCATCAAGAGTGCCTGAAAAAGTGGCTGAAAGTGAAAATAACATCAGGTAGGTGGGGAAGGAAGAGCGAGTGGCAAACGTGCGAGAACCTGGAATTAATAGGAGGCACCGCGGTGTGGGATTCAGAGCCTTGACAGCAGCTCACTCACTTCCGCCGAGCAGGAGCTGAGGGAAGCGTGGCCGCCGAGCCAGTGCTCCCGATCTCAGCCCTGGCGGATAGTAGTGGGACTAAATGCTGTCTTTAAATCATGGGAATGGAATGAAATTTGTTTCAAGTCTGAGAGAAGAATCCTGCACCATATGCTATCGAACTTGACCCCTGCCTGAGGACCTAAGCAGAGTTGCTAAGATTGCCTCCCAGGAGGTCAGTGGTTGAATCTCAGCAAGCACACAGCCACCATGCCAGCTAGCAGACACCTGGCCAAAACAGTTCTGCTTCCTTTAATTTATGTGGGGAGAGAGTTTTTACCAAAGACACTGAGCAAAGCTGCCTTTTTGCAGTAAGGGTAGAAAAAGAACACTGATCGAATTTTCTAGAACCATGTTAGACAAAGTGATTTCAATGTGCTGGTTTTGTCAGCTCTGTCTTTAGCAGATCTTGTAACTGGGTATGAAGGCTTAACTCCCTGTGGAGGCTATAACCTAAATACAGCCACATCAGTAGGTCAGCTATAGTTTTCTTGGCAGAGAATGGGAGGTTTCTTTAAAATATGGTTTTAGGAATGAGAACCACTTGCACGAAAAGGCATAGAAGACCAATGCAAAGAACAACTCAGTTAGAAAATAGCTTCCATGTTTTTCAGACATGCCTGTCCAAAACTTTTTACACCCCTAGCCAGATCCTATTTCTCCCCTCTTCCGCCTTCTCCTTGGTGGCCATGTTTCCAGAGAGCCTTGGACACTGATGAGCTTTATCCTGTCCCCATGGGGTATGGCTGTGCCCCCTTAACAAGAACAGAACATCATTTAATCTGAGAAAGGAACACGTGGGATGATCACACTAACTCTCTCCTCTCAGAGGCTCTTGTACCTCTGCCTGAGCATGCACAACCTAAAACCACTGCCCACGCTGCTTAAATGCATCTCTGCGTAGCCGGCAGAGGCCTCAGTCCTTCAGGGAGCAAAGAAACAAGTCGATTTCAGCTGCTAATGACTCTGCCATGCAGTGTTTTCTCCTACTGGAAATTTAAGCCAATTAAACATCTAGCACAGAAAAAATTACTCATGAAATAGATGATGAAAGTCCTGCTAAGTGCTTGTAAATGCTGACGCTGGTAGCGGGGGTTGAACGGGATTAGATTGGAAGATACACAGGACATTCAGTAGCCTACAGCATTACAGACGATGCTTTTAAAAAAATCAAGTGAACAAAATGCAGATCAGGGATTACTGTTCATTGTCCTTTGAAATTCTCTGTTGCTTACTATTTCTCTGTATTCCCCGTGGGGATGAGCAGGCTCTAAAAATGCACAAACCCTACCTTTACCACATAAGTGCAGGTAACTAATTCATCCTGTATTCTCTAATGCATAAAATGAACACTGGCACATCATTAACCACAATGCAGCCGCCACACTGGGGGAAAGACGCATGGCGGAATGTTTGCCATAGGTCTGTGCCTCCCACTCTTGCATCGGCAGCGGGATAAGTGGAGAAAAAAATGCTGATCCAGAGAGCACGTTTTCTAAAAAAAAAAAAAAAAAAGGAAGCTTTCTCATGTTTCTTTTCCCAAATGTGATTGAGCCAGGGTTGTGCACAGGCCCGAGGTACTGCTGTGCTAGTTCCACACATGGCCCATGGCTCCCTCATTTTCTCAGGTGGGAAGTCACCTGCATGGGAATACAGGCAGATTTTAAGCCACAGATTGAGGATAGCTTCTGCCATCCATTTGAAACTCACTAATTTATTTCCTTGGACCTGTGTTAGGTCTGCAAGGAGAAGAAAAAAAAAAACCAGCAAAATCATAGGCCCCGTATTTACTCTTTTTGCCAACACCTGTGTTACAGACTCTCAGCCTCCATGTAGCACATCCAATTTTATGAACCAGTATGTTTATATGGAAACTGAAAGCAAGACGTGTTATTTAAACATCATGGGACTTTCACTTATACAAAGCTTGTGTAATAATGAAACTGATTACAAAGGAAATTTTTCCGATCTCAGATTCAAGGTCATTTTCTACGGAAGATGGCTGACTTTAAAAAGGTCACTAAGACTCCAAATTCATAATATACACAAGTTGGCTCACAAAATGTCAACACCAGAAGACCCAAAGTGTCAACACAGAAAGTTGCAGGGTCATATGTAACAAAGGATTCTTTAACTTAAGGAGCGGATCTAGGCGCTGTGAAGACCTGCGAGATGTGTAAGCAAGGCCTGCTGGTTGATCTGGATGACCTTAACCTGACCGAGTTCTACCGGAAGCACCAACAATCCCGGGTAAGAGACACACTCCCACTCCGCCTGTGCAGGCTAACTCGGGGCGGGGGGAGGGGGGGTGAGGCGGGAAGAAACCCTCTCCCCGTATGAGGAATGCAAAAGGGCTGTGCATGGTGTGGAGTGGGGAGTTCATTTAGCTCGCCTCTTTGAGAAGGCCCCTACGATAAATTGGACCATCAGAGGCTTGGAAAGTCTTGGTTGCCCTGATTTGAGGTCCTGCTGCTGTCAGGAACAAAGGAAGCTGCAGTGGCTGACTAGACACAGAGAAATAGGAAAAGTCTGGCAAGCTCTAAGCCCAAATTTGCTCAAGTAATTAAAGAGCAAAAAGAGAAGAAAAAAAAAATTAGGGTCTTAAAGGAAATGGTCCTCTCTCTCTCTCTCTCTCTCTCTCTCTCTCTCTAAGTTAACTCTGGGGTGATAGGGAACTGCTTAACTCAAGGGTAATAAACATGTAGTAAGCACCTACTGTGTACTTTTTAACACCTAGTGAATTAACTCTTCTGGGGCATCCGGACTGCAATTTCAATGCAGTGAAGGAGTTAGTTAACCTTAGGAGAGAAAGTGATTTATGCCCAGGATAATAGCTAATTACCCAATTCTCAGGCAAACAATCTCTATTTAGAACTGCACTGCACAATATAGAAGCCACAGCCACAGGTGGCTAAAAAACAGGTGGCCACTTCCAGTCAAGATGTGTTAGATACACACCAAACTTCAGACTCAGTAAAGAAGCAAAAAAAGTGTAAAGTATCACAAATAAATTTATATGAATTATATGTTGAAATGATAACATTTGGGATATATTAGAGTTAAATAAAATATATTGTTAAAATTAATTTTACCAGGTTTTTTTGTTTGTTTGTTTGTTTACTTTTTTAATGTGGCTACTTGAAATTTTCAAATTACACGTGTGGCTCATGTTTGTGGCTCACACTGTATTTCTGTTGGGTGGTACTGATCTAGAAGGGGCCTTGCACACAATAAGCAGTCAATAAATATTTATCAAATGAAAATAACTCACATTATGATTATAATTTAAGACTGACCTCCCTCACAATGTGATTAGGAAAAAAAGAGTAATCATCACAGCTATAAAGCACATAATTTTAAAACTATACAATCATTGTTAATGACTAAAATGTCCCCCGTCAGAAGAGGAGTCACTTCAGCTCCCAGGACATTAGCCTGCACCCAGGCCTTTTTTGCAAGTGGCACAGTGGAGTCAAAATTGTTTGTGTGAGTCTGGGTAATTCTGTAGTTACTTTTTTAAAGTCCTAAGGCCACTGGAGAAAAGAGTGGTAAGAATGGGAATTTAAACAGTGCAGCTAATAGGTTTGATACAACGGACATAATGCCACACTGCAGAGAATGGGCATCAGGAAGTGAAAGGGAGAGAGGAAGGGAGGGAAAAAGAAAGAATTTCCTGAGAAATACACTCAGGATTTTGAGTCCATACATTTCAAGAGTCTTGAATCATTCAGTCATAACCCCCAGGCACTGAGATCTGAGATGAGAAACAGAAGCGACTCACATTCTTGGACCCTGAGGATGTTGGCGTCAAAATATTGAAAGGAACCAGGCCCTCTGAGTGCCTGAGGTCAGGGTGCCAGCTGGGGCGCAGACAGGGCTCCATGTGGTCACCTCAAAGAACAGATTCTTTCAGGAAACGGAGCCGTGTCCAGACGAGGCCGGGTCACCGGAGCACTGCCAGGACGGCCTGCAGACGTCGCAGACACCGTGCAACCCAGGGGAATGCCTTGTCCAGCAAAACCGCCTCCCGGCCCAAGCGTTTCCACATCGTCTCCCTCTGCCAGGCTGCTGCCCTGCCACTGCACCCTGTTGTTTTTCCAGTGGTGTCTGTAGAATCAACTCGCTACCAGCAAACTTTTCCAGTTATACTAAAATGCTTGCACTCATGAAGCCAGAGGCAGCCCATCCCCCTGAAAAACACAACAGCCTTGACTAAGACATGAACCTAAGTCCTATTCCCTTCCCCAAAGTTGCTGTGTGACCTTGGGGAAACTGGTCTCAGTTCTCTCACCTCCAGTTAGTGGAAGGTGACCATTCCCCCCTCGCAGGCTTGGATGTGGGGAAAAACCCCAGTGTATCACCTAATACAGCACCTGTGCAGAGAAGCCTCTCAGTAAATGAGAGCTGCTGTATGACTGTCATAGACATGCCCCACGTCTTTGGCACTCCAGTGAGGAAGCTAAGTGCAGCGGGACCGGACTAGAGCCCGTCCCTGAACCAAGCCAACTGGTATGGGGGTCATACCCACATCCATGGCCTCTCTGCATCCTGTCAGCTGAGATACCAGCTACAAGCTGATTCTAAAAAGAACTGTGAAAGCAACTGTGTCAGCCAGAGGCTGGGCAGGAAAGAGACAAGAGCCCATTCGCAAGGGGTGAGTGATGTGAGCTGAACGGCAAAACACAGTCAGTTAAAGAAATCAACAAGAAATGACCAAGCATCTGAGACTGCCAATGTGAGCACCCCTGGGCTTGAAGTGACAAGGGTGGGGGCAGTTACCAGGATCAGGAGGGCTATGACTACAGGAGAGAGTCGCCTGCAGCCTGTGACCTTCAGCAGAGGGGAGCTTCCACTGCCACACCACTGCCCAGCAGAGAGCAAACAAGGGGAATAATTGCCCCCGCCTCTCTCTCCTCCCGCCGTCTGCTCTGCCACGGCCTCCCTTTGGCCAAACGCAAGGGGAAGCCAGAGGACAAGGGGGCCAAAGTAGTGCATGGGGATCCACCTCATGGCCACAGAGCAGCGTGGAAAGTGGATCTGGTGAGGAAAACGGAAAACATCCAGCACCGTACGTCTGCCACTTGGATGCAGAAAACAGTTGAAATTAGTTCCAGGGAGAACTTGACAGGTCATCAAAGCCTTTTAAAAATACCGTTCATCATCGTCACAGGTAGGGACCGGATCGACAGACCTGCCCTGGTGGGAGAGCAATGGCCATGAGAACCGACAAGCAGTATTTGTCTGCTGATAGGGAGCGCTTGAGGGGTCACATTTACAGCAGTTCTGACTGTCCTGATGGCCCGCTGTGGACTTAGCAGAGCCTGTTTGCTAAAAGTCTGAGTTAAACTTGAGACACTATGGAACCATGACTTAGACGAGTTCAGGAACTCTTCATGGATCAAGAGTGAAATAATCACTGTTTAACACAAATATTTAAAAGACAGAATACAACCTGGGCTCGTCCCCAGCCAGGGAGGCCTCCTGCCTCGTGGTGGAGCTAATGTGCCCACCTTTGCTTTGGTGGTCCAGGCCCTTCCCTGACTCCCACACCCTGGCTCCTCTGGGTCAACCCCCAGGGCTGTTCACTCCTGGAAAACAGGGTCCTTTATTGAGATGAGGTAGCCAGTGCCAAACATAGACTCATACAAAGACAGGGACAAAGCCAGAAGAAGCCTAGGACTGGCTTCGGCTCAGTCTGGCTCTGACCTGACCTCAACTCACTATCTAGCTAACCCACTAACTTATTTTCTCAGGTATTTTTCCCAGGTAGAAAATTTGCTTTTCTTTAATTATAAAAATCAGAAACACACAAATATCTCCTCTAATTAAAGTAACATTTAGCTGCATGCTACTGTCGTCGTCGTCATCATCATCATCATCATCATCATCATCATCATCTAATTGCTGATGCCCAGGCCCAGCCCCAGAGATTGTGATTTAATTGGTCTGGGATGGGACCAGGTACTAATTTTTTTGTAAAGTGGCAAAATACACAGAACACAAAGGTTTAACTTTTAAAATACGTATTGAGTGCCCACCGTATGTCAGAGTCTGTGCTGGAGATGCCAAGCTGCCAAGACTAACACAGTCGCTGCCTTCAGTGGGGAAGACTGTAAGTGACCATAGCCTCACTGTAGAAGGACCAGAATCTTCCAAGTGTCAATAGGGTGTGGTGGCACTTGGGACCAAATGGATGGAGAATCCTCTCTCCAACGAGAGATGTTCGTTTCCTTCCTTCCTACCAGTCAGGGCACGTCTGCAGGCCAGATTAAGTTTATTCACTGCCAACTGTTGATCCCTGGGTTACAGCAGTGGTTCTCAAAAACGGGTGGTCCCCAGACCAGCAGCGTCAGAGTCACCTGGGAACTTGTTAGAAATGCACCTTCTTGAGCTCCACACCCAGATTCCCTGAATCAGAAACTGGGAGAGAACAGGAGGTGGTGCCTAGCAACTCTGTTTGAAAGGTTCTCTCAGTAATTTGGATGCACGTTAAAGTTGAAGCCACTGGAGTCAAAAGTCATGGCTGAATGGGCCACTGTCTGGTCCAGAATTACACATTTTTCTCCTCATTTTTTTTTCATGTGTACATATATTTATTGAGCTGGCACTGGACTGGGCACTCAAAGCCCAGGAGCAAACAAGGTCCACATGGTCCTTGTCACAAATTCTATCTTCATTCGCAGCTCTTGCAGGACACTTGTTTTGCAAAATACCGTATCCACTGGTATTAGCTCATTTTGCCATAATGCCCTGGGGAAACAGGCAGAACAGTGGTGACTTCTCCCCTTTAATAAGTGGGGAGTCACTTTGGTCATGCAGTTAAAATTCTTTGCTCAAAGTCATGGTACTCAATGGCCCTGGACTGCCATTCCGGGGCCGAGGCCCACGGTGTGATGGAGACGGGCTCTGCCATCTGGGCCCGGCAGCACCGGCGGGGCTCAGCGGGGCTCTGGCTGTCCTTGCTCTGAAGCACAGGCCTGGCCTTGCTCCATCTCAACCACGGGCAGATGTCCTTGGACACATGCAGTCACCTAATCACCCTCACACTTGGGAGCATCTCTGGAACATATTTGAAGATATTTGAACATATTTGACAGAACGTGTAGCCAGCCTGCCCGCTTCTTGGCATGGCAAATGGAGAATTTCCATTGGTAGCAGATCTCTTGGTCGAAATGAGTATTAACAAAATGAATGGGGGGAGGGGTCAGGAGAGAAGAAAGAGAAACATCTGGCAGGCGGGCGGAGCGCTTCAGAGCTCTTGCCCACTGCTTCACAGGCCTCTCCCTTTCAAGTCTCCCCTGCCCCCTCTTCCTCCCCATCCCCCCACATGCACGTGGGTGCCAAAGTGCAATGCGATTGGGTCAGGGGAGGGCTGGGTCAGAAGCAGCCCAATAAATAAGGCTCCAAAACCTCACTCAGCTCAAACTCGCTCCCTGATAACCAATCCCTCCCACTTGTGGCTCTGCGTATACAGTATACAGGATAAAGGATGACTCCCGCAGGCTACGAAACGCCTGCTCAGATTGGCAGGCCCCGCCCCTTTGTGGAGCATCCCAAACTCGGCGAAGGGCCACGTAGAGGAGCCTGGCCAGTGAGATTTATGGCGCCGTGTGACAGGTTCCCTCCCACAGGCCAGAGAAGAGACACAATCTGCTAGAAGTGACTTTTCAAATTATCTGCAGAAAACATTAGTGGATATTTTCCCATCTGCATGTCTCCGGGCCTTATTGAGTCATAAAAAGTAAATGATTTCCCTGAATGCTTTGACAAACCTGATAGTTCCAAGCCATTTTCTAGCTGATTGATTTGCCATTATGCATCGGAGTGTCTCTGAGCATAGAAGGCTTACCGGAGATGAGAGTGCGGGAGAGTGTGTGGCAGCTCTCAAGAGACCACCACGCAAGAAAAGCAAACAGGACAAGGCTTGGTTTGTATTGATGAGCTAAGGGGTAGGTTAGGAAGGCTTCCTGGAGGAGGTGGCTTGAGAGACAGACTATAAAGGAGGCACCCACTCATGGCGAAGGTGGGAGGAGGCAATTAAAGCAGAAAAAAAGTGAAAACAAGCAACTCTCTCTGTGCCTGCCCAGGCCAAGGTCAGAAGAGCACAGAAAACATGACTAAGGTCTAAAAATAGGAGGCTAACTACTAAGGACTGTTGGAGAGTCTTTGAAGACGAGTATAGGGCAGTGGAGGGGCCTTGAGCAGTGACCTTGAGACCAGTAGTCACCAAGATCCGGAGTTGGCCCCGATTCAGAAGGAAGAACACATCGATCCTTGCTCAACTTGGGCACCTTTTCTGGCAGCCATTTTATCCTGGAAGAGGTGTGTTCTGCACCAGCTTCCTGGCCTGCCCTTGATGGAAAGGGAACGAGAGACAGGCCACGAAGCACCTCTGGCTGCTGGGAGAGGAAGGAAGAGGCGCTGAGGCGGCCACTGTGTCAAGACCAAGCCTCAGTTGTCCTGGGAAAACTGTCACAGTTCGGACAGTTTCGGACACATCCCCAAGGGTGATGTAAAGGGCCACGCCCTCTGCTGGGGCTTCCTGAGGCCGTCTGGCTCCTTCCCAAGGCCCCTGCCCCTGGGGATTTGGCATGAAGACAAATGGGAGATTAAAGTGGCGGAGGGGAGGAGTCGTTGCTAATGCCACTAATTTATTGAAGGTCAGCGAAGCATCCACAGGGTGAGGCCTTACAACACAGACCGCCGGAGTTGCTGAGCACAGGGGGCTATGGTCAGCCGGGCGGCCAGGTCCTGAGAAAAGTAAAACACAACCCACTCACCGAGCAAAGGCAAAAACATTAACAAGAGCAAGATGCAGTATACAAAACAAAGACAAATACCTAGGAGTCAGGGAGTGAAGGCGTGATTGGGACAACGGTGAGGTAGGCTCCTACGAGAAAGTGATGTTGCGACAGACAGCGGTAAAAGGAGCTGTGGGTGCGGCCTGGCAGAAAGGTGGACCGGCGCATTCAATACAGAGGGACAAAAACGAGCTGCCAGACCAAACAAGGAAATACAGGGGCAAGGGGCCTGAGGTTCACAGTGCCACTGGAGACCCAGCTGGGTACACGATCTCTGGCAGTTAAAGGGTAATAGATCAGCCTGGATTGAAGCGGGGAGCAGAGGGAAGCTTAAGTGAAGCCACCGTTAAGTCCGACTGTAAAGGGGGAAACATGAAGAACTGAGGCCCGGGCCCTTTCACTGGGTAATGGAGGGATCTAAGAAAACAAAGCCCCCTCCCGCCCCATGATACCTGCGTCCCAAATTCTCCCACAGGAACATCTGCCTTCCTAAAACAGGCATCTCCTCTGCTCAGAGGCCACAGCTACATACATGATATCCAAACTCCTCACTTCTGACTAATATGGTCCCATTTCACTATCTCCCCAGCCCATGCCAACATTTTTTAAAAATCCAAAACAAATGCCCTCCCCATATACTCCAGCCAGGGAGTAGGGAATTTTGGCCACACTCTGCTCTCTTCATCCCTATGTCTCTGCTGGCCTCCAGTGCCTCTGAAAGGCCCTTAATACGCTTCATAACCACCTACCAAAGCCCCGCAACCCATCCTGTGAGGACAAACACAGAAGCCTTGCCCCGTGCCATCCTCGGCCGGAGCATGGAGGTCGTTCAGGGCACCCTCCACAAGGCAGTAAAGAATTCCCAGATGGCCGCCCCTCCTCCACCCTGGATCCCCTCCTGCTCTGTCCTCTGGTCCCCGAGGGCAGGTTTGGCCTTGGGGCTTGGGTTCTTGTCCCATTTCTTGTCACCTCTTGGACATGATTTAAGTCATGAATAGCTTATAGATGAACTTAAGAGCGTTCTTTTCCAAATTTAGGTGCAAAATGAGCTGATGAACTCAGGCCTGTACCTGGTGCTGCTGCTTCACCTCTACGAGCAAAGGTTTGCAGAGCTCATAAGACTCAACTACAGCCGGGCCGCAAGAGCGCGGGTAAGTCCGCCTCGGCCCCGGACCGGCCAGCAGCAGGTCCCCCAATGCTGCCGTGTTGTTTATGAGATGTGCAGTCTGTTGAGGTCCTCACGGTCACTTGGTAGGACATGGCATTGCCATCCTTAGGACTAAGAGGTAGTGGCTGCTAAGCGTATGCACAGTGGCCCTCTGGCTGAAAAGTGATAATCACATAATTGCTTATGAATAACATGCGTAGTAATTAAGTGGTCATTAATGATCACATAAGCAAGTGAGTTTCTAGGAACATTTGCCCCCAAAATAGAGGCCAGCCAGGCTGCTGGGGCTGGGTGTGCATCATGCGTAGGCCTGCCCCCTGCCTACACATGCAGGGCCCGTGAGAAACAGGGACCTCCCCAGTGGGGGGGCTGTTTATTTGGCTTTGGATCCCAGGGTACGTTATCCCAGCATCGGTGTTACATGCCAAGAAATAAAGATGCTGATGGTGTCACCATTTGTCATTAGAGAAGTGACAAGGTATTCACCAGGAATGATCATCTGTGGTTGCCCTTCATTTAACAAGGGAACCAGGGTGCTCGCTCTGGGACGCTTTGTGACTGGAAGGAGCAGTCCGGGTCTGCCACTAACTGGAGCCTGGCCTTCGCCGAAGCACCCAAAATGTGGGCAGCACCCAGGTCTACCGCTGCACCGTGCTCGTCACTGTCAAGGCAGAACTCTGAGCCGCGCTGGACTTCCCTCTTAGTTAAATGCTTCTCTGTGGCTGGGCCAGGAGAGAGCGCTGGCAGCCGGGGCCCCTCCCTTACCTGAAGGTCATGCCGGATGCTGATATGCTGTTAGTGTTTTGGGTTCTAAGAATATCCCTTGAGGATTGGAACTTGACTTCTGCTCCCATCAGAAGGTCATGACTAGAAAGCAAGCCAGTGCGGCTGGCAGAGAACAAGCCACCAAGAGTGCCGCGAAGCAGTCTTAGTGATACTCTGCCACCCTAGCCCATGCCCCTCTCTCTCTCTTCACTTTCTTTTCCCTCCTCCCCCTCTGACTCTCCCTCTTCAATGAGACAAGAGGCACCTGCTGGCACAGGGGTCACTAGCTGGAGGTTGGAATTCGGCGATTCCAAGTGTCGCTTACATTGCCGCAGACCTTGCCTGACTGGAGGCTGTTGCGATCTGTTTGGAGTCGTCCCAAACTAAAACACTGGGTTCACACCATTAGTCATAAGAATTCTAGATTTGTCCTTACAGTTTTTTGGCTTAAATTCCCCCTTTAGACCCTAAGCTCTCAATTAAGAAAACAGGCTGGGTCTTTGCCAAGCTATCTCCTCAGGAATCTCACCCTCTTTTTGACCTGGGCCTGTCCTTCCTTTAACTCTTCCGTAGGTTTAATGGTGACATAAATTCCTCAGAGAAATACATTAGAAAAAGAAAAAAATAATAGTACAGGAAGCAGGAAATGATCCTTTGTTAACATTTCTGTGACCTCATTTTCATGATTCCACATCTTTTTAATGAACTTTTTATTGCACATTGAACTTCAAAGCACCCAGGGTTGATATAGGTTACAGATGGCCGCAACATAACAAGCTAACACAAGCAACATTAGCCTTCAAGACAGCAAAGCAAACAACAAACAGTACAGCCTAGTAGATGGAAACCAAGGCTCCAGAGCACTGACTCTGAAGAACCTTCTGGAAAAACTATCCTAGAGAAAGAGTAAGGAACACCAGGAGCCAGCGGAGACCCAGGACAGAAGGAAGCAGAAAGGACGGGCACCATTCTTTTCTCACCACAGCTTACATTGAATTTCGGGAACCCTGAAAGAGCTCTCATCCACTAAATCGCTACGCTATCACCGGTACAAGTAACCAGTTAAGAGGCGCACACATGGAAGTAGGAAGGCAAAGAGCTCTTATCAAGTTCACATTACTGGACTTGAGTCTCAGTATTTTCTTGTAGAAAATATTCCGAATCTGTGGGTAACATTTAGCAAACGAGAGGTGCTACGGACCAGAACTGGAGAGCCCGTTCACGGTGTGTTTCCTGTTGTGTCTCATGAAGTTGCCCAGGGATGAATGCTTGCCAGTGGTGATCATTCATTCACTCATTCATTCATGCCCTGGCCCCTATCACGTGCTGAGATGGGGTCAGGGAGAGTAGCTACCAGGCACGCTGCCATGATGTCCCTTTCTCTGAGGAGTTCATGGTCGAGTTGGAATATATAAAACCAGAAAATAATTGAAAAGTTGCACTTGGTCAGAAGAACTGGTAGACCCAGTGAAGTCCCAGAGGCTGTGAAATTAACAATGCCAGGTCTTTCCTGCCTGGGGTTCCCGGGGTTTCAAATGACACCATAAACAACAATTTGTCTCCTGGTGAGGTTATGAGCTATTTGAAGGCAAAGCCCAGTCTTCTACTCCTCTCATGATGCCATGAATTGTGTTTGACCTTTGACCATGTCCCAGACACTATGGATGCCAGGAGCATTGACTGAGTCCACAGGTGTTAAATGACTGCCGCATAAAGATGTGGGATGTCTCATTGACAACTTGGGCAGGGAGTCCTTTTCTCTTTTGACCCCCACAGTCCTCCAGTGCCTAGAAAATGCCTGGCACAGTATAGGTGCTCAATAACCTTTTGATGCTCAACAATAATTAGTGAGCCAGAACGGGCTTCTTCCAGGAGGCAAATCTTGAATTACGTTTTGGAGAAAATTATAGTACGAATTTATGGAGAGAAAGATATTCTAGGTAAAGGAACACCCAAGTTCAAGGTATACTGATTTATTTAAAGATTTTCTGTGGGCCTACTGTGTGCCAGGTTCTAAACTAGATTCTGGGAATACAAAGATGATTAAGACATTCCTTGCCTATAAGGGACTCAGAGCCTAAAGAGAGAATAGACATGTAGCAAGAGTATCAAAAATGTGCCCTGTGTTATGATGGAAGATTAAGCCAGATCTGGAGGACATAGACTGGAGTTAGATGCCATGAGGAGCCACCATTCTTGCCGACTCCCCCGCAACTCGCCCCCGGCTCCCCGTTCCACTCCTCCAGGACAGACTCTCCAGGCAGGGTCTTCAGCGACACAAGCCAAGGTTTCCTAGGCCTTGCTTTTAATCCAAGTAGGTAGTACTCTTTGCCATCGGTCTTCCTGCTGCTTTGAGAGGCTGGTGGCCAGCTGAGGAGGTGATGCTTGCACTGAATCTTAGAGAGTTTAGCAGACGGACATGGGTGGGCGGGAAGGGAAAGGCCATTTCATGCAGAAAGAAATGCAAAGGCACAGAGACCTGCAAAAAGACTTGTCTGTTTGGGAAAGTCAAGGAGTTGAGTGCAGCAGGAAGCGAGCCTAGAGGCTTGGCAGGGAGCAGGATGTGAAGGGTTTGTGTACAGCTCTAGACTCCACTCAAGGGTTCCTAACTGGGCTTGGCAGACCAAGAGGCTTGCATTTTTTAAGAGAGAACTGGAGCAGCCCTGAGAAGGGTGGGCTGGAGGGGGACTGAACCAGCTGGGTGGCTGTGGCGACGGTGCAGCGCAAGGGGCTCGTGTGGAGAGCACTGGAGAAGGGAAGGGCGGACTTGGAGCGCACAAGGGGCGGTCCACACGGGCTGAAGGAAGCCCCGACTGCAGTTCTCCGCCGGTGCCCACTGTGAGAACACAGGACCCACCAGCCTCATTTGCCTTCCTTGTCCTTTCTTTCTTTCAGCACCCACATAGGCCCTCCGTTATTCAGGGCCTGGGTGTCCACATAGCCACAGGTCATATCCCTACCGTGCTCACCATCCCCCCCAATGAAATGTACCTGTACCCTGAACATCTGTCCCTCCTGCCCCTGGCAGCTCTTCTGTACCCCTTAAGGGCCGAATTCACTAAACCACATAAAACAAGGGAGAGAACCCCAGCGTGCCGAAAGGCAAAGGGCAGGGGGACCCCAGGCCCTCGCATCGTTGCAGTGCTGTCCCCGAGTGAGGCCCGCCTTTGTCTCCTGCCCCAGGTGTGCCGTTTTAACTCTGCACCTGCAGGAAAACTTTCCCCTGCAAGAAACTAGGGGGAGGGGAGGGCAGTGCAGCGGCTGGCCTGGGACACAGATGGGGTCTTGAAGTAGCTTTCAAATCCCACTGACCCATTTAAAATGTGCGAGGCTGGGTGGCCTTTCTCTAAGCCCTCCCCATTCATGCCATTTCCACAAAACCAAAATTGTCACCTCAAAGAGCCATCTCTACCCAAAATATGCGAGGCCCACGCTTGGCCCACATTCACCAAGATGGCATTTCCGGTGGAGTGAGAGCTGGTTCAGACAGAGCCGATCACCTGGCACAGGGTCTAGAGGCAGGATGAGGCCGGGTTAAGAGAGGCCTGATGTATAATTTACCAGGTAACCAGGACTGCGGCTCTATGAGAAATTCCATCCTCCCCTGCCCTCTTCCTGGCCTGTCGGGGAGAGGCACTCCAGGGGCCAAAGCTGCCTCCGCACTGGGCAGCCAGTTGCCCCAGTAACAGTGTCTGACGCCCCTTATATTGTCCCCCAGCCTGTCACAAAACCCCTCTTCTGCTGGGGGAAGAGCACCAGCCTTCTGCACCAAGCCCACACCCTCCCAGCCTGGCACAATGGACTCCCAGGGAGTACACAGTGTTTCTTATTGTGGCATAAAATGCCATAAAGTCAGAACAAAGAGAGAACCCAGAGCCTTGATGGGCTTGCTGCTTCCTGCCAGGCAGAGAATACAAGCGATTGTTTAAAAGCCAGTGGTGAGGCAAGTGGCCAATTAGCACGGCCTTCACCCCCACGGCCTGAAAATGCGATTCGGACCATCAGAATGGGATTTTGCTTTTCAGATCAATTGTGGAGAGGAAGCAAGTCTGCTCACACTGCCAAAATTAGAAACCCCGAACTAGCAAAGGTGACCTGGGTTCTACTGCAAGGCTCTCTCCAGGGCAAGGCTGAGCCCTGCAGGTGCTAAATATCAGCCTGCCTGCAGCACCTTCACCCATCATCCCTGCCCCTTTAAGGTGATGGTAAGGGATTCCTCGAACATCCCTGAGGCTAGGGAATTATACAGCTGTTCACGATTGCTTTGGAAAAACAATTCATTTTTCATTGTCTTCTTTCTCATAGTTGTCAAGAAATTTCCCACAACCCAGACCGGAAGAAAATGAAAGTAGGTTTGGGGGTCAGTCCTGCCATTTTGAGGGTGTTTGCTAATTTACTCTTTTTCTGCCACTGTGTTGAACCTAATACTGTGGAAGGAAGTAATGACCACCACCCAGAGGCAAAAATAACCCCACAAAGCTTGGGAAACCCTAGGTGCAGCCATCAGGAAGGCAAGTTCAAGTACGCTGGATGTGGAGCAGATAAGAATTTTAATTCATCCTGAAAGCAAGGAAAAGGGCCAACAAAAGGGAAGACGGTATTGTCAGGCGTAGGATGACTGGCTGCAGGGTTTTTCCTTTTCCTTTGTTGGAATTCTCCAGCCTCCAGTACTTAGGGCCTCTGGGTTTTCTTCCAAACCTTGGAAGGGGGCTGCTCAGCCATTACCGGAAGGGACCACATTCAATCACAGGCTGGTGGCTTTTGTTGGATTTCCTCACCATTCAGCTCAACCAAGAGGGTCTGCTGGAAAAGGTCCCTCATATGAGGCAAGCCTGTCTTCAAACAGGCTCATTATCTCATAGAAAACCCAACTGAAGAAAATGTGGTTAATTAAAGCAAGAGGGCTTGCAGTCAGACTCAGGGAGACCTTCTCCATCATCAGGGAGAATCAACATTACAGTGAAAGGGGGAGGGGGCAGTGCGGGGATGTGACAATTCCGTCCCCAGATGCTCTCCTGGGGAGAAATTTTACAACTGCCTGTCCTAAAAGGTTCAGAACAGTAATTCCCACACTGGCTTTGCTATCAGAATCACCTGGGAACTTACCAAACCAAAAGTAGATTCCTGGGCCCCTCCCAGAGACTCCGAGTCCGGCCAAGGAGTGAGCCGCTGGTGATCAGGACGCAGCTAGCTAGTCACGGGGATGCTTTCCGGGAACCCCCCATAGACCTGCCTGGAGGAGAAGCTAAACCAGCTCACAACTGCACAGGGTGAGGCCCAGATGATGACTCTAGAGAACCCAGTTTACTATTCTAGGCACGCTCCCCTGAGAACCAGGGGGGCAGGGAGGGAGGCAGGGGAGGCCTTCCCTCTGTTCACAAAAGGAGCCCGTAGAGCCCCAATCCTAGGCGCGACCGCGGTGTCCCGCTGAGCCGCTGACGGCCCAGTGCCCCCTCGCGTCCTCCGGGGGCCACTCTCGGAGGCCATCCCCGCCATCCAGCATTGTCGCCAGGGCCGACCCAGAGCGGCTGCTTCCCCTCCAGCGCCGGGCAGGGACAGAGCGGGAAGGGAGCGGTGCATTTGAGAAAAGACCTTTGTGTCGCGGACGCACACACCCCCTCTCGGAAAAACGCCTCTGCGCCTCGCCTCGCTGGTCCTAATCGCGGCATTTCGCGGGAGCCCGGAAAGGGCGCGACAGTGAGCCGACTTTAGGCGCCGGGGAGGACTCCGGGGCCCGAGGCTCCGGCTAGGGTCTCGGCGTCGGGCCCGGCTGCGCCCCTCCCCAGCCCCCGCCCCGGAGGCGCCCGTGGCTTTTCCCGGTTCGGGAAACCTGCTGCGGCCGGGCGCGCCCGGGTGGGTTCGGCTGTGCAGGGGCGCCCCCTAGTGTCCATCGCGGGCAGCTGCCGCCGTCCTGCGGCCCCGGAGGCTCAGGACGAAGCCTTTCCCCCAGGAGCCTGGGGGCCGGATTCAGAGGTGGGAAAAAAGACATCCGAGTCTCCAAGCTCGGGCCCCAGGGAAGGATGACCTCTCGAGATCAGGAGAAGAGCACCCCTGGGGTGATGCTTAAAAAGGAGTCTCCGCGGAGGGGACCCTGGGAGCCAGTCCTCCTGCAAGTGCCCTGCGCTGCGCTGCTGCTGCCCTCCCGTGTTGCTCGAGAGAGATGTCACTTGCCATCCTATTTAAGGAAGCTGGGAGGAGGCCTAGGATGGTCCCCACTCCAGCACCAGCCCCAAAGTGGGGGCAGCGAGTTATCACCTGAAAATGCAGGCGCAGGTCCTGTCTACGCGCCCCCAGCCCTGAACATACCCTAGAGTCTGGCGGGCGGGGGTGGGGGGGAGCGCAGCTGAGGTGGAGTCCTGGACAGAGGGACGGTCTGAACACGCTGATCAGATGCTGCCCTTACCTGACTTCCCGCCAGAGCCATGATCAAGAAAAGAGCCAGGGCAGCTAGACACAAAGCCACATGGCTTCCACCCTCCCGCAGGCCACACTTTTCTTTGGTCCCCAGCAGCCTCGCATGACTCACCTGGTTGGTTAAGATGGGTGGCGAGCGCTGAGTCACAGCTGTGACCCGCCGCCTAGCTCTCAGTTCAGGTAAACAGGAAGGGAAAAAAGCAAAACATCAGGACCCACTAGGGGGCACAAAGCAATGCCGACCTCTTTGTGGCGCTGTGGTGCCCACGCCAACCTGCTCACCAGGCACCCCCCCCCGCACACACACCTGGTAACCAAAGCCACACACAAATGCCACAGGTGGCCAGGGATAAGAGCAGCTGGAGAGTCCCTGGGTGGGTATGCCCAGGTTGAACAACCTGTCTCATCTCTCTGTGACCCAGCCCTCCTTCCCAACTGGCACAAATGACTGTCAGCACAGGCAAATCCAAGGCCAAGAAGGAGAACAATGCCTCCCACAGCTATCGATACAGGTGTGGAGAGCAGGCAGGAGGGCCTTCAGGCCAAAGGCTGGGCCAGGGCACTCCCCACTATTTGCAGAAGTCAGGGCTTGGGGGGAAAGAACAGGAGGGTGAGGGAAGAGGGGCAGCGCGTGGGGCTGGGGCTTCCTTGTGGCAGAGAAAGTGGCTGAGAGGGTTCAAGCTGGGATGGGGGATGTCAATTGCTCCTGCTGCTTTGCCCTTCTTCAATATTCAAAAACCAACTGTATCCAAATAAGCAGGGAGCACTCGCTCAAGCCAATGGGAGAAGAAATATATTGAGAACAAGAGTTCCCACTAAAGAATAAAGAGCCCCCAGCCCGATTCCATCTCGTCACTCAGACTCCACTGCCTCTCTGCCCTCCCTCCTATCGCATGACCCTCTGCTTCCATCCATTTGATCTCTGAGCCTCCTTTAAAACGTAGGCCAATTCCCCCCTTTCCTGACAAGTAGAGGGAGTGAGAGTTTATGCGGCAGTATCACCATGAGAGGCTCCTCCAGCAATTCATCCTGCAAACGTCTGCAGCACCAGGCTGCGTGGGGGGGCGGGGGGGATGAGTAAGATACTTTCACTGAGGGGCTTACAGTGCAGCTGGCCTGGCTGGAAGCCCAGTGGGCAGTCTAGGAATTCGCCAGCCCCAGGCCGCGGCCTCTGTCCCCACACTGTTCCAGGCCCTGCAGCGGGCAGCGGCCACTGGGGCTGAGGCGTGGGCAGGAGGGCAGCAGTGCCACACCCCTCCACGACAGGTCCGCAGTCGGCCACGGCTCTCCAGCCTGAGAGGTCTTCTTGCTTTCCAGATTCTGAGCTGGGAGATGGCAATGAAAACGGCATTTATCAAAGCAACAGCCGGGTCATCTAGCAAGGGAGCTGGCCGTGGAGCTCGGCGGAGACGTCTCCCCCAGCCGCCCTTTGTGTGTCCCAGGTGCCTCCCTTCCTCCTCCTCTTCACTGAAACTGAAACAAATGTGTCCGCAGTTACCATTTTCACCTTACGTCAGTCTCTTCTTGGGTCTGGCTTGAGCGTCTGGGACACATCAGTCCCAGGCAGCACAGGTCCAGCAGCCTGGCCTCGCTGAGCCCCCGCAGGCTGTCCTGCTGCCCTCAGCCCAGCAGCTCCCAGGGTCCCAGCAGCCCTGACAGGCCCAGCGGCCTGGGACCCCTCTGCGGGGGGCACCTGTTCAGGCCTCCACCGAGTGGAATCGAGCCACATACTCAGTAAACTGACTTAATTCACCCAGCTTCGAGTTGAGCTTATTTCAGTCTCCGGGGACAAAGGCTCATCTCAACTGGGAGCAGAGGGGAGCACATCTCACAGCCCCTCTCCACCCCACTTCTGGGCCCCCCATCACTGCCAGGAGGCCCACAAGCCAGTTCAGCCGGGTGCCTGGCTGCCCCTTAGGACCTGTTTGGTGTGTGGACCCCACACTCCTCGTTACATCTTAAGTCCCAAAGACCAGATCAAATGGGATGAAAAATGCGGGAGAAGGCTCATGAGAAAATCGTGTGCTTCTGTGGGGTGTGTGTGTGTGTGTGTGTGTGTGTGTGTGTGTAAAAGAAAAAATAGATTAAAAAAGCCCGATGGCACAAACGACTGATACAAGCAAAAATACTACGCTAAGTGAAATAAGCCAGATACGAAAGACTACATGTTGCATTCTATTTCTGCACAATTTCTAGGAAAAGCAAAACTGTAGACAGAGGGCTCCGTGGTCACGGGGGTTAGGACTCAAAGCGGAGACTGAGTGCGGACAGCTGCAGAGGCTGTTGGGCGGGGGGCGGGGGGCGGAGAAGGTGTCCTGAAGTAGGTTCAATCAAGTGTTTACACAACTGGATACACTTACTAAAGTTCATTAAACTACACTTAGAGTGGATGAACCCTATGATCTATTATAAAATAATCCTCAGTAGATTTTCTAAAAACTGGAGGGAGGACTAGAGAAAAGGTGAAAGAGAGGAGGGAGGGGGGGAGAGAGGTACAATGATGGGAACAAGACACTTCTCCCCCCGCCCCTTTAAGACCCTCAGCCCAGGGGTGGTCACTGCAGATTTTGCTGCAAAGGGTTTCATCTGAGGTTCCAACAGGGTATTAGGAAGACTACACTTGAATTACCTCAAAATCCTGTCCCATTCCTCTATGTTCTTCCTCAAAGTGACTGAACTGCTACAAACAAGTAGATTCAACCAGGCAGCCTACGTCCAAGGTCAAAGATCAAAACAGACATCTTTGAATGTTAACAGAGCTAGAAAGGTCATTCAAGTTGAAAATACCTCATGAAGTATGTAAAATTCCTAAAACCTCAATTCCTCCATTCACAAACCGAGTCCCAAGCCCTAATAATTCTATAAGAAAATTGACCTTTATTTCTTAACTGAACATTAAGTTTCACTGAAGAGCAAACGTGTACCTAGGAGCCAATACTGAAAAACGGCTAAGGGACAACGCATACTTAAAGGCAAGTTTTACAGAGAGCTGGATGGAATGCGGTGGCTATGTAAACATCCGGACAAGTCACATCCACAGTAAAATGTGAGTGTGTGTGACCCTAAGACAGTCACAGGTCTACATCGGCCAATGTTAGGGTTTTTGAAAACTATGCTCTTTCTACAGAAACTTTTTAGAGGTTTACCAACAAAAGCAGGAGTGCCTCCCCTCAAGTCTGGGGTGAACTGATACCTACCCACGTCATCAGTTCAACTTGGTGGCGGCCCAGGAGTCTGCGATGGGGCCTCTCATGGCCCAAGTCACCAAATGAGACCGTGTCTCATTTATTATTGGGTTGGCCAAAAAGTCTGTTAAATTTTTTTCCATAAAACAAAAGACACACTTTTCATTTTCACCAATAAATTTATTGATGTGGATATTTTGAATATGTTGGCTGTCTCCCACGTGGTATTATGTTGATTGTTCTCAATTAATGTCTCGATCTGATCACTGTGAACTTCAGCCGGTCTGCCCCGCCATAGAGCATGGCCTGGTGAGAAATCTCCAGCACGAAACTGCACAAACCACTTTTGACACATTTGATCAGTCACAGCACTGTCTCCATACACCATCCAAATCTTTGTGTTTCAGTTGTGTTTTTACCTTTCTTGAAATAATAAAGCATAACACACCAAAAATGTTGTGTATTTCCATCTTCAATATTAACATGGCTGCACAAAAACTCATCAAGTTTGAGAAGCTTTTTTAAACGCACACTGATATGATGGCAGCTGTCACAATACAATCTAACAAAACCGTTTCGAATGAAGTTAAAGACAACTAAGCACTTCTACAGCCATGTTATGGGGGAAAAAAAAACACTTCTTGGCCAACACAATAAAAGACAGTGATGCAAAGGGCTCTCTTTCCCCTCTATAACCGGATAAATATCACCAGAATCTATGAGGTTGTGGCACAGTGGCTGGGACAAAGGGTCTCTCCAAGCGTTTGGCTCTTCAGTGAGCTGGCATCACGACCCTCAAACATTTACCCACCATCAACTTAGTGCCAGGTTGTGAGGACACAGGAAAAACGGCATGACGGCCACCCTCTAGGAGCTCAGTCACATTGGGGCAACAAGACATGTACAGGAAAAGTCAAGTGGAAGTGATGAGTCCATGGGCGCCACTGTGGGCTGGGCCCGGGGAAGAGTATTTTGCATTGGTCTTTAATCCTCACTACAAGCCTGTGAGGCAGGTATCACTAACCTCATACTACATGGGAGGATACCTACATTAAGCTTCTCCAGAGAAACAACCAATAGGATTTACATAGATATATAGAAAGAGATTTATTAGGAAGGATTGACTCATGCAATTTTGGAAGCTGAGAAGTCACACAATCTACCATCTGGAAGCTGAAGACCCAGGAAAGCCAGTGATGTACTGTAGTTCCAGTTCAAACCCGACAGCCTGAGAACCAGAAGAACCAACAGTATGTGTCCGTGTCTAAGTCTAAGGGTCCAAGAACCAGGAGCACAGGTGTTGGGGGGCAGGGGGAGATGGATGGCCCAGCTCACACAGAGAAAATCCACCCTTTCATTCTATTCGGGCCTTCAACCGTCGGAGCGATGCCCACCCACACTGGGAAGGCGGTATCCTTTACGCAGTCTACTGATTCAAATGCTTCTCTCTTCGGGAAACACCCTCATGGACACGCTCAGAGGCAATGTTCTACCTGCTGCCTGGGCACCCCTTAGCCCTGCCAAGTTGACACAGAAAATGAACCATCACAAAACCTAAGCTCAAGGAAGTGACGTGCTGAGTTTGCAGTGTATAAGTCAGTCTGTTGGCCAAGGCCTGCTTCTGGCTGAGAAAGGACAACATCCTTAACCAGCTCCGAAGTCGGGGGGATGGGAGAAAGGGCCTTGAAGGATGGTGGACCCAGGCAAGCAGGGCAGAGCAGAGCGAGAGGGAAGGACAGGCCTGTGTGTAGGAGCAGCTGGCCGGAATGGGATCACTGGGCAGGGGAGCCAGGGCCCTCCCCCCTCAGGCCAGGTCAGGGAGCTAAGGGTCCACACACAGGCTGCAGGGAGCTACCAAAAGTCAGCAACCCAGACTGGTGAGATGAGGGAAGTGGGACCTGGGAGAGGAGGCAGAAGGAAAGAAGGAAAGAAGGAAAGAGTACCCTGTTGCTTAGGGACTTGGGGAGTGTTGACTTCCACGGAAGAAATGCACGTGAGCGTTAAGATATCCAAGAGTGTCAATGTTTATTTATAGACCGAGCCCCCACCTCACGTCAGTGCATTCTATACATAATACCCATGGTCTTACCGCAGCCCAGGCTACACAAGTATCCCCCGCTTTTTCAAAGTTCCCTTTCCGCCACTTCACTTTTATGCAAAACCGATGCTAGCACTCTATTCACTAACCAAGGAAATCTGAAGAGGATTTCCACTTCTATGAAAAAAAAGCAAGAAGTGAAAATTGTGCTCAGTGTTTGTTTTGCCGAGCGCCCTGGGAGAAGCAGCGAGAGCAGCCCCACTGAGCTCCTTCCCTGGGGAACCGCGCTCAGCGCCACAGCATCAAGCGCCAGAGCTTTGAACTGTGCCTACGAGCGGCTGGGCGTCATCTCGATTTATTCTGTGCACCTGTTAGCAGGATGCGTTGTCCTAAGGTATCGGAAAAGCCTAAGAGAGCTCATAAGGATGTCACACTTGGTGTAAAACTGGACATAATGAAGCATTTGGACCATGACAAATGAAATAAAGATGCTGCGTGCGTGTTGAATGCTGGGTCTGGGAACGCTCATCTTCACTTTAGGTCATTTTGACTTATGAGAGTGGGTTATAGGAACACTTTCCTTCCAGAAAGCTGGGGCAACCTGTCACTGCCTTGCAAGGAGAGCCGTGGAACAAAAGGAAAGAGATCATTCTTCACCCTTAAACTCAGAAAAGAGGCTTCTGAAACCCTCAGCAGAGACAACTGGTTGAGACAAAGTTCTTGCGTCTCCGAGCCTGACTGCAGGATCACAAGGGGGTGGGGGAGCTCTCCAGAACTCACTGCCCACCCCCAGCACTTTCTGTAGTGCAGGGAGGGCAGAGGAGCAGCGGCAGGGCAAGTTCTTTTTGTGCCTCAGTTTACTCATCTGCAAAAAGGCTCAATAGCCCCCCCACCTCCTGGTGTGTTGAGAGAAGAGAGTGAGTTAATTCACGGTAAGCAGTTAGAATACAGCAGCATTAGTAACCACTCAATAAATATTTTGATTACTATCATCACCGTGGAGGAATGATGTGTCTGAAGCAGTGTCCTGAACCTCCTGCAGCCCCACGAAAGGGCAGGACACCATCCAAGGTTTCCCAGGTCCCAGAGAGAAACAGAAGGGCTTCTCTGCATTAGCCAGCAGGGACATAGGACGATGAGGACCAGGTCCCTGGCC